CATCTCATCCCATGCTGGAAACACCCAAGCACAACATCACACTCTCCTATAAAAACCTTCACAATTGGGCTACTTCCTGTGTTTCTCACTGTGCACCCACACCACAGCCACACTGACTTTCTAAGTTATGCCTAAACTTGCCAAGTTCCTTTACTCCTCCGTGTCTTTATGTCTTTTGCACATAATCATGTTGCTCTAAAGCCCCTTTCCCTCTCTACCAGTAAGCTCTTACACATTTTCAGTCTCCGGCTCAAATAACTGTCCCATAAAGCCTGCCAGAAGCCTCCAAGTGCTTCTTATTCTGTGTTCCCGCAGCAATCTATTTTTTACTTTAATATTGTGTTTTCCTTTGTTATTTTCTTTGCATTCTCCCCTTTCATCTTTGCCCCTCCAGTGTCTAACACAGACTTGGGTACTCAATATATGTTTAAGGGGGGAAGGAGGGAAAACAGGAGGAAAGAAAAGGAGAGGAGTGGGAGAGAAGAATATAGAAAGGAAAGGAAAAACCATTTATTCCCTGACGGGATGAGAGAGAACCATGGCAGAACTTTTAGAGTTCCTCTTATAATAAAGACATTAAAAGATTATATTTTAAAAGTTAAATGACTACTGACTGCCTTGGAATTATAAACAGAATCTATTTAAGTCATACAGAAATAATGCCAGTAATTAATTAACCATAGCAGTGTGGTGGGTGAAACATGCTTGGGCTTTCAGCATAAGTCAGTGTTTGCACGCTACTGATAGTAACTATAGCAACTAACAGCTGTGTATCCGTGGGCATCCTACTCCCCTCATCTGTGCAATACATCCTTTAAGTATTTCCTCAGAAAATAAGGGTAAAACACTGGGCACATGCTGAACAAGCAGTCAGTGATACGATGAACTTTGGTTTAGAAATGAAGTTGCTAAGCCTGGCTGGCATAGAGCAAAAGCCTGATTGAGTATTGTCCTATGAACCAGGAAGTAACAGTTTGATTTCCGGTCAAGGCACATGGCCGGGTTGCAGGCTATATCCCCTGTGTGGGGATTGCAGGAGGCAACTGATCAATGGTTCTCTCTTATCACTGATGTATCTATATCTCTTTCCCTCTTTCTTCCTCTCTGAAATCAATAAAAATATATTTAAAAAATAAGTAAAGAAGGTTGCTAACCATCAACCGATATTAAAAATAGAATATTAAAGATATTAAATGTAAGAGTTGAATTTTAACTTAATAACTATATAAACAAAATTTATAACTACTTATGAAAAGGCCTTAAACAGAGCCTATAGAAAAACTATTTATTAAACGTTATCCAGTTTTATATTATGATTTTAAACAACAAAAAACATTGAGGATGGCAATCTCTCCATGATCATTAAAAATTAATTTGATTTTTCTCTAGCCAGTTTGGCTCAGTGGATAGACTGTTGGCCCATGGACTGAAGGGCCCCAGGTTGGATTCCAGTCAAGGGCATGTACCCCGGTTGCAGGCTTGATCCCTGGCCCTGGACAGGGCATGTGCATGTGGGAGGCAGCCAATCGATGTCTTTCTCTCACATTGATGTTTCTCTCTCTTAGTCTCTCCCCCTCCTTCCACTCTCTCTAGAAATCAATGGGAAAATTTCCTCGGGTGAGGGTTAACAACAAAAAAATATTGATTTGATTTCCTTTAAGAGAATCATTTCAAACCTGGTTTAATCACTATATATTATAAGAACACTTTAGAAAAGCTTCCATACAATCAATGGCCATATGAAAATTCTCCTGAAAATAAAATTGGGAGAAAAAGAGGAAACTTCTGCCTTTAAACAGAAGGTACTGCGCTGAAACACGTGACATGTATCCCCCTTACTTTTTGACCAGGGCCTGACTAGCTGTGTTTGCTGGCAGTTGAGCATACTTTAGCATCTCACTCTGACAAAGGACCATCTCCTGACAGTGGTGTTCAGCTGTTGTCTATATTGTAACCATGTCTGCTCAATCTGTTTACAATCCCCTTGAGCTGGCACAGCTCCCTTACTGCCTGTGTTAACAGCAAGGTAGAACTGCAAAAAATAAATGAATTTCATTTGGTCTACAGCTAAAAGCCTTGGGAAGTACCCATATAAGCTTAAAACCAATTCCCATTTAGTTCCAATTTCTCTTTTAAAAAGAAGGAATTTCTGCTACTGAAATTACTTTGAAAGTCACGGTATAATCAAGTTTGTTTTCCTAGTCATTTTTGGCTTGCTTTCCCAATATAATTAGAAGTTAATTTTTCCCAATCTCCTCATATAAGTATAAAAATGTTTCTCTCCTATGACAATTTCACATTTATTAAGAACAAATGTTGCCAAAGTAGGGTTGCCAAATTTAGAAGAAAAAAAAAAAAAATACAGGATACTCATTTAAATTTGAGTTGCAGCCTAACAATGAAGAATGTTGTAGTACATTATAGCTTAATATTGCATGGGACATACTTAGACTAAAATATTATTTGTTGTTTATCTGGAATTCAAATTTAATTGGGTGTCCTAAACATTATTTGGGAAGCTTAAATTAAGATATTTTTAAATTGTATCTATAATTCAATACATGGTCAAATTCATGACCAAGTTTTACTGGAAGTATTTTCCTACCGGCGTCCTCTGAGCCTGAAGGGTTGTTTTTTGGGGCAGACAATTGTGATGCATAAATGGTTTTGAATGTGTTCCTAAAGCCTTTAGGTTCCATGAAATATGCTATGCAACCACACTCCCACCCCATCCCACCGTCCAGGGGCCATCCAGTCATACGAAGCTGGGGGAAAAGGAGAATAGCGGTCACACTTAAATTGGTGTAAATAAAACATCATTGTGAGATTGTGGGTTTAAAGAGTATTTGGAGCCCTGGACGGTGGTGCTCAGTGGTCAGACCATGCATTGAAGGGTTGCAGGTTCAGATCCCTGGGCTGAGTTGGCAGGCAACCAATTAATGTGTCTCTCACATTGATGTTTACATCTCTCTCTCCCCCTCTCTCCTCTCTTCCTCCCTCACTCCCTCCTTCTCCCTCTTAAAAAAAAAATAAATAAATAGAAAAATACCTTGAGGTGAGGATTAACAAATAAATAAATAAATAAATAAATAATTCTGAGGTTTTTTTTCGGTTTAAAACACCTCATCCATGCTTTAAACTATCAGCTTCATTTAAAGTAAGTCCTTCGGTTTATGTTTAAATTGTTGTCCAGATATCTTAAATGGCAAAATCAGGTTCCAAAGCCTTCACCATGCTTCTCAGCAGCGTGGAGCGCAGTGAGGCCTGGGGCATGTCCCCCTCCTTTGAGCGCCGGTGCCGTCTGCAGCTTATCCTGTTTCCTAACCACGGCCTGAGGAGCTGTCCTCCAAGCAGCCAAGGAACGCATTAACACAAGTTGTCCCTGGGAGACGCGAAGGCACCGTGCAGCTTCACAGGAAGGTTCTGCTTCATCGGCTGGGGAGGGAGCCATCCGGCTCCGGTGTGCCAAGCTGGCCCCTCAGAGCCCATTGGCGCTCTCTCTCCCCAGCTCTGCATTCACCGATACCGCTTGGTAACCTAAAATCCTCCATGCTGGGAGTACTTACCTCACAGAGACCTGCAAACGCTACAGATCAGGGCTTTTCTTTCTGCCCAGACATCCTGCATATCAGCACACAGAAATTTATTATGTTCCCTACAAGGAATTAATGCATAACTAGCCTTGAAGCCCGCTGCACAGAAATGAATATATTCAATGAATTCTGGGAAGCACCTGATGTGTTTGGAATTATATTAGCAGCCTCAATACCCGGTGCCACTAACATGTAACATTTTATACACTCAATGCACTTCAAAAAATCTTTACAGCCCTGGCCGGTGTGTTCGGTGGTTAGACTGTTGGCCCACACACCAAAGGATCTTGGGTTTGATCCAGTCAAGGGCACATGCAGAAGGCAACCTGTCGATGTATCTCTCTCACATCAATGTCTCTCTCCCTCTCCCTCTCTCTCCCTTCCTCCCCCTCCCTCCCTTCTTCCCTCTTTCCCTCCCTCCCTCCCTCTCTCCTTCTTCCTCTCCTTCTTTTTATTCCTCCCTCCCTTCCACTCTTCTCAAAAGCAAAGGGGAGTGAGGATTAGCAACAACAACAACAAAAAAATGTTTTTAAATCTTTATATAAGCTGTACTTTTACTTAACTCAGATTTTTAATGTTAAAAGAGAGTTTGCTAATTTCTTTCATTAAAAGTTTAAGCACAGACCTTGGAATCATAGAACTTGAGTGCTGAAAGGGACTTTAAGAAGTAATCTAGCAAAGTCTTTCAGAATTAAAAATAAAAACCCACTGAGATCATAGACACCGGGACTCACTTATAGGTGCTAACCCACATAAAGGCAGTCCCAGGACGGTAATATCTGTCTGCTATCCGACCCCCTGAACTTCCACACGAGCTTAGACGGCAGGTCGGTTTTAAAAAGAAGAAACTTCATTCCATTATGATGTCTCAGGGACCTGTCAGAGTGGCCATAAGGTCCATGACTCTAGACAAAACTCATATTTTTTTTTTTTAATGTTATTGATTTTAGAGAGGGAGAGGGAGAGAGAGAAACATGAATGATGAGAGAGAATCATTGATTGGCTGCCTCCCGCACGCCCACCCACTGGGGACGGAGCCCGCAACCTGGGCATGTGCCCCCCACTGGAATCAAACCCAGACCCTTCAGTCCACATGCGGATGCTCTATCCACTGAGCCAAACCGGCCAGGGCAAAACTCATACTTTTGAATGAAAACATTAGCACACAGCCTGAGTGAGACAATTAAGTAGAGCACATACTTCCATTCCTCATCATTTGAGGAAAGCAAAGACTGGGGTTAAAGTCATCTCTCCTGGAAAAAGCTTCCCTCTGCACAGGCTGTTGAGCAATGACCCTGGGTCAGAGCACCGCTGCCACAGTCCCGGAAGCACAGAGTCGGGCACCGATGTCAAACAGCCACTACGGGTCTTTTTGACCGTAATAAAGAGAAGACAGAAACGCCATACCCAGGCCAGAAGCAGTAGGTTTCTTTTCACGGTCCCACAGTATCCCAGCATCCCCACGATGATAAGGAAACAGCAGACGGCAATCATGACCGGATGGACCACGGGGAAGTAAGTCAGGATGACAGCCTCCTCCACCCTGAAAAAGAACGACCATGTCACCTTACAAAGAAGTGTGATCAAGAGGCACCCGAGACTCGGTACAAGACACCACTGTGATTCACCTGAATAATCTTTAAATCATCAAGCACAAGGACAATAGCTGTACTGCTATTTTCAAAATCACGGTGCTATCTCAGCAATGTGCTTGCCTGTTTATTTTTGTTGCTTTAGTTTTTTAAAAAGGGGTACATTCCAACTTCAACTAATTTAAAATATATGATGAGCTAGAGGTCCTTAACAAGAAGTCGATCTACTGTTAGCTCTGAAGCCTCAGCCTCGGGAGCCACACTGGACCCTTCGCTCTTTCCCAGCTAAGGAGTCTCCATCCTCCTCCTCTCAGACCTGGGGCTCCATTTAAAAGAAAAAGGAAGGGGGAGAGATGATTTTTGCTAGAAAACGATGAAAAAAAAATTTAACTACAGCCACAATAGGAAGAATAATAGGAACAACAAAAATTACCCTTACAACACTCCATTGAGTTGAGGGCTTTACAAAAATATATGTCAGTGAATCCTTAGGATGTTTCAGAGTGGAATATATTACATTCCCCATGAAGAAATGAAAAGTTTTGAGGCTAGGAGAAGTTGAGTAATTTGCTCCTAGTGAGCTTAGTGGCTCAGCCTTTGAAATTTGAGAAGAAATGGCAATGAGTGGGTTTGGTTTCCCTGAGCTCAGGAATATGAAGGCAACAAGTTTGGGGATGATTTTTGTAGAAAAAAGTAGCACTGCTGTCCTTTATATGCAAATATGACAGAGCTGACACCCTGTCAGGAGGACAGGAATGATCTCTCAGGACCTTAATGAGAATGCCAGAAAAATGCAGACGGCTGTAACAATGGTTGCCATAGACAGGGAAAACTTTCCAAATGAACTTAGGGGCAATACCCTCTAAACAGCTGTAGAAACCAGTGCCTGAGGAAACCTGATCAAAGAAATCAATCATTACTATAAAGCCTACCTTGTTTCTGCAGTTAAAGTCAGAACATTACTTAGGTAGTCCCTCATCCAAGCAGAAACTGCCAACACGCTGATGGACATTAACTGGAAAGAAAAAAATACCAAGGTTACGAAGGATTTATGCAACATTCTCTGCCAGAAGAACAGTAAAATTTTTTTTAAAATGAGGATATTGCCTTACATAACCACTATACTTTTTCCTAATTTCCTGTTGAGATTTACTTTTATTTTATTTATCTGCCATTCCATTTTGCAATCGTGACATAGCCACTAAATAGAAACTCACCAAGTAGGACACACAGAGCTAAACTATTTAATGTCTGATTCCAGGTCCAGAACGGGAATTGCACAAGATGAAGAGGCCACAGAACAATTAAGTTATGAAATGTACAAGATAAGCCTAAACTATGTCAAATGCAAAAGCAAGGAAGCAATCAAATACTACTGATGTTGTTGAAAATAAAAAGTAAAAGTCCAAGGAGCAAACTTGGAAGAGCTTCCACCGGCTAAATTTCAAACAATTTGAGCATCAAAATAATAGCAATGATAATAATGATGATCAATACAATAGTTTGAAACATCAGATATACTAAAAATTTATAAATTCACAAGCACACTTAAACTAAACTCACTGGTCACCTTTGTAGAATGTTGGATACTCAAATCATTATTTAGAAAACTATTAAGAATCCAATATTTACCCAATCTTTTCCATAAAAATTAAAGAACTGAAGACTTAATGAAAGCTTTTATAGTGAAAAAAGCATGACAGAGTATTACTCTTTATCAACTCCTTCTGAAATAATGAATTTCTAGGCAAGGATCCCCAATAGAGGTCAAAATGATCAGGATAGTAGTTCTGAATCCTGTCTGTACATCAAAATCACCTAGGACTCTAAATAAAATTACTGAGCCTGATCTACCCTGCACCAATTAATGGTTGAGAGTGGAGGCTAGGCATCAGAAATGTCTAAACACTTCACAGGTTTCTAACACATAGTCAGAGCTAAGAACCACTGCATTCCATGAAAGTTTAGAATGGAGAGAGCAGGCAGACCCACTGATCAATCTTAGTATCACAAAAAGAGACAACCAGATGTTTCTCAACACGATGCAATGAGAAATACACAGATACATTTGAAATATTTTTACCAAGAAGTCAAACCTGAATCTAATCAAGCCCCTAGCTGTATAAGTTTATAGGAAGTGCAGGGAATAGATTTAAATTTGTTAAATGCCACCATGGGGATGCAACTAGCAAAGCTGAGAATATGAGAAATTTACAGGACAAATTATCTGATTTATTTAATTTTAAAAATTGGCGAAGGGATGCAGGGAGGAGAAACCATTAAAAAGTAAAAGATTTAAGAGGTTACTCAATGCAACATGTTGACTTGGTAGGAATTCTTATTCAAACAAACCAATAGCAGAGACATTTGTAAGACAACAGGAAATATTTTGACATGACTGGATATTTGAAAATATTTAAAAAATTATTGTTTTTTTTATTTTTTTTATTTTAGATATACTAATAGTATTGAGGTTTTTTTGTGTGTGTGTGTTTTGTTTGTTTGTTTGTTTGTTTGTTTAAAGGATCCTTGCCAAAACCGGTTTGGCTTAGTGGATAGAGCGTCAGCCTGCAGACTGAAAGGTCCCAGGTTTGATTCCGGTCAAGGGCATGTACCAGTACCTTGGTTGTGGGCACATCCCAAGTGCGGGGTGTGCAAGAGGCAGCTAAACGATGTCTCTCTCTCATGTTTCTAACTCTCTTGCTCTCTGTAAAAAATCAATAAAATATATATTTTTTAAAAATAAAATAAAAAAGGATCCTTATCTTTTAGATATATATGCTGAATGTTTCAATAAATAATCCAAAAGGCTGAAGTCAACCCCTCAGTTCTGAAGGTCTTTCCTATTTTGATGGAAATGTTTCTAAAATGTACCTTATACTTGGCTTTTAAAGCACAATATAGTGAAGTTCTATTTCATTTGATTTTTAATAATTTCTAGCAATTTATTAATATATCAATTACCATTATATATTATAGATTTAGTTTTAAATGCTAAAAGAAATGATGAAAATACAAGATGGAATGTGTCTGTCCTGATTCAAGCCGTGGCCATGAAACATGCTTTCTGGAAAAAGGCTCTCGGACAGTGACGTATGGACATCTGCTTGGAAAATCCATTAGTGAATTCATGTGTCCTTCATTCAGCTGCAAATATTTACTCAGCACATACTGCCTGCTTTGTACTGTCTGTGCTAGCTTCATGGACCCAACAATGAGTAAGACAAGCAAGACGCCAGACTTTGAGGAGCCTCTTGTGGGACACGAGAAATAAATATATAAATCAGGTGATCACAGACTATAAAAAGTACCATGAGACACAGACGAGTGAGGTAACCTGTTCAAGGTCTTACAGACTCTAAGCAGCAGAGCTGGGATTCAAATCCAGGCCTTTGGAGCTTTACCCACAGTAATTAACTACCTTCCCGATTTAGAGACAAGTGTGAGAAATTCCACAGACAATGAGGAGACCAGCCTGCAGAGCACACAAGCTTCCTTTTCAGCCGGGGTGAGGAGCAGGGAGAGGAGGGGGAGGTGGTGGATAGTGAGCAGGCTCAATTTGAATGTCTGAACTATATTCATTGGTGAACAGGAGCTCAGGGGCTTACTGTCCAACACAGGTTAGGAGCCTTGGGACCACAGTTCAGAGGAGAATTAGGCCAGTTATTACTGTTATTACTATTACTGTCCTCATTTCTGTTGGGAACCTAATAAAGGCTACTCAGGGAATCAGCCACAGTGTATTGCTCCTAGCTTCTGTACACTTGATGCTTTGACACCTGTTCTACAGGTTATGCTTGACCTTCCTTAGTCTGGAGAAACTAATAATATGCCTGAGTTAGCTTGTCCTGGCCACCTGCTGTCCACTGCCTTGGGGAGGATCCTTCTCCTGGGACAAGCTTTTCATTTTGAAATACAAACTAACCAATCCAAGCCCACCTCCGTTACTGAGCTCCCTCAGGCTGGGCTACTCTACACCTGCAAGACCCAATGCCAGACAACTAGAGGCAGCACCTAAACTCCAAAATGCTGAAAGTATTCCAAGTGGCCAATATAAAACCCACTTACCCTGCCTTGCCTGGTCCATCTCAAAGAAGCCACAATAAAAGCACTTGCCTGGTCCAGCCATCTCTCTGCCTTGTGGTAGATCCCCCTGCGTCCCCCTCTTGGCCTACTATGATGAGACATGTTCTCTCTTGGGATTTGTGAGTATAATGAACTATCTTTTCAATGCCAGGCATCTCCTGACATGTTGGGCTTACCATCTACACTAATAAAAGAGTAATATGCTAATTAGACCAGAGACCTTCTGGACATCTTTCTGGACAAAGCCATGGTGGCAGGGCTGAGGCAGAGGCGGTTAGGGGTGATCGGGCCGGCAGGGTAGAGCAGTTGGGGGTGATCAGGCCATCAGGGGAGAGCAGTTAGGTTGATCAGGCCAGCAAGGGAGGGCAGTTGGGGGTGATCAGGCCAGCGGGGGGGGGGGGGGCAGTTGAAGGCAATTAGAATAGTGGGGGCCTGCTGTGGGTGATCAGGTTGGCAGGGGAGGGCAGTTAGGGGTGATCAGGCCAGCATGCAGAGTGGTTAGGGGTGATCAGGCAGACAGGCAGGTGAGCAGTTGGGAGCCAGCAGTCCTAGCTTGTGAGAGGGATTTAACTGTGATAAGTATAGGGGAGGAATAATACAAGTTGCTATAAGAACTCCTCTTGGGGTGACTATTCCAAGGGGTCAAAGGGATTTGTCTAAGAGATCTGAGGTCTGAAGGATAATTATCAAGTTCATTAGGGAGAGAAAGGCTAAAAAGAACATTCCAGTCAGGAAGAACAGAAAAGGTCTCAGGGTAGAAGGCATCATGATACATCCAAGGAAGGGAAATTGGCATGTGGTAAGAACAGAAAGCCAGGCAGAGATCAGGATCAGATCACAGAGTCTTAGAAGTCATTGTAAGGTGTATGAACTTGACCATAAGGACGATGAGAAGCCATCATCTAAAAAAAAACACACACAAAACAAACAAACAAACAAGCAAAAAATTCACACCTTGGTTTGAATTCCATCTCTGCTCCTTTTCACTATATAACTTTGGGTTGTCATTTAATCTATCTCAAGTCACTTTTGACCTAAGGCTTTCTCTTAATCTTTCTCCATAAGCTTAAGAGACAAGTCAACTGCAAAATCAGTCCAGAAATGAAATCATCATATATTTGAAAGTCTACCCAGAGGGTCAGGGCCGAAGCAGGGTGACTTCCATGGCCATTCTCACTTTTGACATCTCTAAAACTGAACTAATTTCCATTCCTCTGAAAACCTACATGAAAACCTCACACATTTTCCCTTCCTTGGTAAGTGGTGTAATCAATGCTTCAATCACACAAACTGGCAACTGGGCAGGCAGCCTGACCCTCTCCTTCTTCCTCTGTCCTACAACGAATTACTTGCAACTCCTGCAGATTGCTCCTGCAACGCGTCTAGTGAATCCCTCCCTCTTTCCTGCCACTCCTGCCTAGTTCAGGCCCTCAATCTCTTGCCAGGCAATTACAATCACCTTCCAATAGAACTCTCCAGCTCACAGATGGCACCTCAAATCCACCCTTCTGTTCGCTTTATAAAACAGAGATCAAGTTCTTCTGCTTTAAAGCTCTAAGAGCTGCCCCTTATGGCTCCTCCCCAACTATCACGTCCACTTCTCCCAGCGCTCTCCCAGAGAAGAAAGTTTAACCTCCTCAGCAGGCCCTCTTCAGTCTCCCTCTGACTTACCTCTTGAACCCATTTCCTGCCAGCTCCCACCCACACACATTCTGCATGCAGATGACCCCCCCAAAAAAAAAACTGCTCACACATGTCTAAGATGCACTGTGCACATCTCCAAAACCTCCATGTCTGTGCCCAGTTTCCTCTGCCTGCAGTGCTAACCTGCCCCAGGCTTCCCATCCTGAGAGACCAGCTCAAGTGAGTGTGAAGACATTCTCCCAGCCAAAACCGGTTTGGCTCAGTGGATAGAGCGTCGGCCTGCGA